TCTGGATATCAATCTTTGTTGTTTTTAGCAATTGAAATGAGTCCAAGTAGCTTTGTATAAAATTAGTTTGCCTAATAGTTTCCACATTTAGTCCCAGTATAGATTCACAATTAAGTTGCTCTGACTCTTCAAATTGTATATCTTGATATATAAAAGCCTGTTCAGGGTTACTCAATCTCTCTTCTATTATTCCTTGTTCACAACCGTCATAAATGTGAATCGGTTGCAGAGCATCTGAATTTTGATCACGTGACTATGGGGATGTTGCAATGGTTGTGTGAAAAATGGTCATAAGTCACCTTTCTCAGTTTCATAACGGTGAATGGACACTTAATGAGCTGTCATAAGTCAAGGACTATCTGTATTATGTTCAGTTCACTTTGATAACTTAGAGGTTCTATTTTCAATTGTACTATGGGTGTGGTTTGGAGATAATAATAATAATAAAATAATAAAATAATAATAATAATCTTCATCTTCTATATAAATAAAAATGTAAATGTTCGTTTGTTCAAACTCTTAAATCTCCGAAAGTTCTTCACTGATTGATTTGAAATTTTGATACGTTGCATTCGAATGCGCACGTGTTTTTATATACCTACTATTATATAGATGTCACACCTGTGACAGGTAAAAACATGCTTTTGAAAAACAGCGCCATCTGTTGGCTGAGTGAACGAGAGCCACAGCAACGCGTGGCCGGGTACAGCTAGTAATAATAATAAAGTTGGAAGGGACCTTGGAGGTCATCTAGTCCAACCCCCTGCTCAGGCAGGAAGCACTACACCATTTCAGACAAATGGCTGTCCAGTCTCTTCTTAAAAACTTCCAATGTTGGAGCATTCACCGCTTCTGGAGGCAGGTGGTTCCACTGGTTGATTGTCCTCACTGTCAGGAAGTTTCTCCTTGGTTCTAGGTTGCTTCTCTCCTGGATTAGTTTCCATCCTTTGTTTCTTGTCCTGCCTTCAGGCGCCTTGGAGAACAGCTTGACTCCCTCTTGTTTGGGGCAGCCCCTGAGATATTGGAAGACTGCTATCATGTCCCCCCTCGTCCTTCTCTTCATTAAACCGAACATCCCCAATTCCAGCAGCCGTTCCTTGTATGTTTTAGCCTCCAGTCCCCTGATCATCTTTGTTGCTCTTCTCTGCACTCTTTCTAGAGTCTCCTCATCTTCGTTATAGTTCTCTAAAAAACTTAAAAAATGCATCCTAGATGCACAGACAGAGGGAAGCACCCCAGTCTAGTTGCGGAAGGGCATCAGGACCCCTACAACGCCCCTGCAGAGCAGTCACGCAACACACGCACACAATCTACACACATCACAACAGGGACTGGGCTAGCCCGCTAGAGCAGTGTTTCTCAACCTTGACCATTTTAAGGCATGTGGACTTCAACTCCCAGAATTCCACAGCCAGCAATGCTGGCTGTGGAATTCTGGGAGTTGAAGTCCACATGCCTTAAAATTGTCAAGGTTGAGAAACACTGCGCTAGAGGGTCTCACATCAGCTACTCCTCCAGGTGTTCATTCCCATGACGGAGATGGGATGACTACGCGGCGCTTCCTCAGAGCCGCTCCTCGCGTCCGCGCCACGGAACTCCTCCCACCCACCAAACGTAACCCCACCCTCCTTCCCGCGCCGCTGCCACGGCGGCAACTGCGGGGCCGTGGCCGGCGAGCGCCCTTTTATAGTCCGCTCCCGGGAGGGGCGGGACCCTCGGTCCCCTGGCAGCCAATCGGACGGCCGCGGCCGACGTCGGCGCTCGCCCGCGTCGGCCTGGGCCGCCGTCACGTGGGCGCTCGCGGGCCTCGCCGCGCCTGCGCGGCTCCTCCCCTTTCTTCTCCTCCGTCGTCCGCCGGCGAGACTCGCCGCCGCTTCTGCTCCGTCGTTGCCGCGGACGGTAAGCGGGGACCGGGCGGTGGATTTCGGCTTAGTGGAGCCGGGGGAGGAACGAATGAGACAGCCCCGCTCTCCGGTCCCGGCGTTGAGGACGGGGGGGGGGGGAAGGACTACACCTCCCATGCTCCCCCGCCCGCGGCTGCGGCGCATGGGTATTGTAGTCCTCCCCACCCCTCCTCTCCCAGCCCGTTCAGGCCACAGGGCTCTCTCGGGCAGCGCTTCCTTCCCTCCCTCGGCCAGCTCACCAGCCTGGCCGGGTTCCAGCTGCGAAGTCTTCCCCCGGTCGCCTGGACTCCCGGCCCCATCGTCCCCAGCGGGCGGGGTGCGGGGCGGTGGGAGTGGAGGGGGGGTGGGGCGGCCCGAAGCCCGCCGGTTGGAAAGGTTAGGCAGAAGGGGACAGCCAGGCTGCGGGGCGGGGAGGGGGGGAGGGAGAGGTGGACCCCCCCCATATCCATTTGGGGAGGGGTCTGGAGGGGGTGGGGGGGGAGTTGATCTCCCACGGCGAGGGGTCTCCTTTGCGCCCGCTCCAGATCAGGTGGAGCCAAAGAGGGTCGAGCTGAACCTGAGGGTTCCATAGCAGCACCTCTGGGGTCTTCTGGGGGTCCCCCCTGGTGGGGCATGCCGGGAAAGGTTTGGGGAGGGGTCCCAGGAGGGCCTGCTGACCCCTGAATCCGAGGACAGCCTCAACCCGGCCTGGGGGCAAAGATGAGGGTCCTGAGTAATCTCTTGCATCCTCTCCAGCTGTGACTGACATTGGGAGTGGATCTGCTTTTGTCGCCCAGAAGGAAGTTGGACCTTTTTGGGGGTGGGGGGGTGGGGGGGTTTGCCCTGATCCCTGCTCAGAGGGAGGCCAGCATGGACCCCCCCCCCTTCGGTCCGATTGTCCCTGTGGTCAGCCGGAACCAGCTTGGGCCCCGTTCTCAGGGCGAGCTTTTATTTTACGCTTATAAAAAGGTAACACGAAGACTTGTGGACTTCAACTCCCAGAATTCCCCAACAAGCCATACTGGCCGGATTGTCCCCATGGTCAGCCAGAACTGGCTTGTTCCCAGTTGTTCTGGGGCAGTGTTTCTCAACCTTGACCATTTTAAGGCATGTGGACTTCAACTCCCAGAATTCCACAGCCAGCAATGCTGGCTGTGGAATTCTGGGAGTTGAAGTCCACATGCCTTAAAATGGTCAAGGTTGAGAAACACTGTTCTGGGGGGAGCAGAGCTTCTGTTTTACAGCTGTGTGTTTGTGTAGGTCTGGGGTCCCTCCAAACTTGGCAACTTTTTAAAGGCTTGTGGACTTCAACTCCCAGAATCCCCCAGCTGGGCTCACCTGAGTCCACCTTCCCAGGCTGGTTAGTAGAGCCTCACCACGAAAAGGAAATCAAAATGTTTATTATAGACAGATAGTCCTGGATATATCACCACAATTGAGCCCAGATTTCCTGTGCTAAACAGGACAGCTGCTAAGTAAGTTTTGCCCCATTTTATGACCTTTCTTTTACAGTCGTTAAACGAAACCTTGCAGCTGTTCAGTTAGCCACACGGTTGTGAAGTGAATCTGGTTTCCCTGGTTGATTTTGCTTGTCGGAAGGTCGCAAAAGGGGACAGGACCCCGGGACACTGCGACCGTCACAAATAAACACTTGCCAAATGTCTGAATTTTAAACGTGTGACCATCGGCTGCTGCAACGGTTGTAAGTGTGAGAACCGGTCATCGGTCACTTTTTCCAGTGTCGTGCGAGCGGTCACTAAACGAATGCATGTAATTTGAGGACTACCTGTATATTCAGGAATACGGGCTGAATGTTCAACTCTTCCTCAGCTGTCATCCCTCGCCACCTCTTGCGGAAGTAAAGATTAATTCCTTATCTCGTCTCTTCCCAGTTTGTGCCTCTTGTTAATGAGTGAACAAGATGCCATCCCCAGGTCCATGGATCAAATGGTGGCTTCCTTCCCACGAATTCTCAGGCAGGGACTGGGTTCAATAACCCACCGTAATAAAATCCATTCACATTTTTAACCACCTGTGTCCTTGGTGGAAAGCTTGCTTAGTGGTTGCGCTTTGGGCAACGTGGATGATGCTCTCCGTTGATTATGTTTTTTATTTTATTATTTTATAGATTAGAATAGAAACTAGGGAATAGAATAGAATAGAAAATAGGGAATAGAATAGAATAGAAAATAGGGAATAGAAGAGAATAGAATAGAAAATAGGGAATAGAAGAGAATAGAATAGAAAATAGGGAATAGAAGAGAATAGAATAGAAAATAGGGAATAGAAGAGAATAGAATAGAAAATAGGGAATAGAAGAGAATAGAATAGAAAATAGGGAATAGAATAGAAAATAAGGAATGAATAGAATAGAAAATAGGGAATAGAATAGAATAGAAACTAGGGAATGAATAGAAATAGAAAATAGGGAATAGAATAGAATAGAAAATGGAATAGAAGAGAATAGAAAATAGGGAATAGAAGAGAGAGAATAATAACTTTATTGTCACTTTGTGCACTAATTGGCATACATTAAAATGAAATTTCGTTGCATTCCGCTCTCAAAGGGTCACCAACTCTGATATACACTTCATAAATATGTCAAAAATAAATAAATACAGAATTGTGCATATACCCACATATATTATATGACACAGAGAAACAACAGTCTAGTTCAGGTTATGTATACATGTGCGCGGGGAGAAAAATCTTGCGAGTTTGCCAGACAGCATATATTTTATTTTTATTTCATTTTATTTTTATTGTTTTATTTTCTTTTTTTATTTTATTTTTGCTGCTTATCCGGCTATTTAACTGCTTTTAATGCTTTCTGTGGCTATTGATTTCTTTGTTACATTTATTTGCTTGCCCGTCTCATATTGAAACGACTCTGGATTGCCAAGCTGGGGAATTCTGGGAGTTGGACATCCGCCCATCTTAAACTTGCGGAGGTTTGAGGAACACTGGCTTGCAGCATTGAAGCATTCAAATCCTCGTATTTACGACGGTCGCAGCGTCCCGGGATCACGTGATCCCCTTTTGGCGACCTTCGGACAAGCAAAGTCAAAGGGCGAAGCCGGATTCACTTAGCAACCGTGTGACGAACTTAACCGATGCAGTGATTCCCTTAATGACCATGGCAAGCCAGGTCGTAAAAGGAGGGGAAACTCCCCTAACAAATTTCTCACTGAAGCAACATCAATTCCGGGCTCAGTTGTTGTCGTAAGTTGAGGACCATCTGTACTAAACAAACCTAGTCCCATATATTGGGTGAACCCAGGACCTTTGCTGGAGGATCCTATAAAAGCCCTTCTGGAACCCGGGGCTGTTCCAGGGACAGATCTCCCTCCCCTTTCTCTCATCTTGACCTGCCTTGATGGCAGCAGCTGGATCTGGGATCCCGAAAATAGCACAGCGTGGAACGACGGCAATCCACGCTCCTCAAAGGTCTTCGGAAAGATGTGTGACATTTGCAGTCACAATTTGGGATCCCTTGGCAGCAAAATGTCAATTGTTCAAGGTTTTCTTTTGGCACTGTGTGTGTGTGTGTGTGTGTGTGTTGGGGGGGGGACTGCCCCTTGTCCTGAGGGGCTGGTAGAAATATATAAGTTGGCTTCTGCGGAAAAAAGAGATCCCTGCATAAATCTAAAAGGATCGGAGAGGGTATAAAATAGATCTGGAATGCGAACAGTGTGGTCCAGATCTGGGGAAATGCATGTAAGTCCTTGGATAATTCCAGAATTCCCCATTTGGCATGCTTTAAGATGGGTGGAGTTCAGCTCCCAGAATTCCCCATCTGGCATGCTTTGAGATGGGTGGAATCAACTCCCAAAATTCCCCAGACTGCATGCTTTAAGATGGGTGGACTTCAACTCCCAGAATTCCCTAGCCAGCCTGCTTTAAGATGGCCGGTCTTCAGCTCCCAGAATTCCCCAGCCAGCATGTCTTGAGATGGGTGGCATTAACTCCCAAAATTCCTCCTTGGCTGGCTGGGGAATTCTGGGAGTTGAAGTCCACAACTCCTTAAAAGTGACCAAGTGGTTTTGGACACTCCAACTTAGATATTTCCTTTGGTCCGTCCTGGTTCTTACGATGTCTTCAATATTGCCAGGTGACCTTCGGTTCCGGCCTTTGGGGACGGGGGAAAAACCTCTCCTCCTCGCCCGTTTGAGCCACCGCCTTCGTGGGCCCCCAAATCCGTCAACTCCATTCCTGCTGCTTGACGCCCACAGGGCCTGAGCCATGGTGCTGGGCGTTCAGCAAGTCGTGGGGTACCTGGCCCTGTGGGCCGTCTGCGCTCAGGCCAAACCCACCGAGAAGAAGGAGCGTGTCCACCAGGATGCTCAGCTGAGCGACAAGGTCCACGACGACGCCCAGAGCTTTGACTACGACCACGATGCCTTCCTGGGGGCGGACGAGGCCAAGACCTTTGACCAGCTGACCCCCGAGGAGAGCAAGGAGCGATTGGGGTAAGAGAAGCACTTGGCTGAGTGTGAATTTGTCTGACACCATCCTGTTATTCCTGTTCTGTTCTGTTCTACTCCACTCCATATTCCTATGCCATATTCTATTCTATTCCCTATTTTCTATTCTATTCTATTTTATTCTATTCCCTATTTTCTATTATATTCTATTCTATTTTCTATTCTATTTTCTGTTCTGTTCTATTCTATTTTCTGTTCTATTCTCTGTTCTGTTCTGTTCTGTAATTCTGTTCTATTCTCTATTCTATTCTATTTTCTATGCTATTCTATTCTATTTTCTATTCTATTCTGTTCTATTCTGTAATTTATTCTATTTTATTCTCTATTCTGTATTCTATTCTATTCCGTTCCATTCCATATTTTCTATTCTATTCCATTCCATTCCATTCCATTCCCTATTTTCTATTCTATTCTGTTCTATTCTATTCTATTCTATTCTATTCTATTCTATTTTATTCTACTCTACTCTACTCTACTCTATTCCATTCCATTCCATTCCCTATTTTCTATTCTATTCTATTCTATTCCATTCCATTCCATTCCCTATTTTCTATTCTATTCTATTCTGTTCTATTCTATTCTATTCTACATTCTATTCTGTATTGACCATTGTGGTCGTAAGTCGAGGACTACGTGGCGTTGCCGAGGCCTATGCAAATTAAGTGTCACACCTGGCTTGCCATGTAGGGCAGGACGCAACCTCTGCATCAAAACCTTGATCCTTTCCAGCTCATTTACTTTCCTTGCTGTCTTTTAGCCCAAATTCTTAATTCTGCCTCTCTCTTCTCAAGGGGAAACTCGACGGAATTAAACTGCCCCCCCCCCCCAGTTCGTATGCATAGCTCTTCTCTGTGTTTCTTGGAAAGCTGGACAGCTGATCTGTTAGTTTGCTGACACGCACGCAAATGGCCAGTCTAGAGAAAAGAAGGACCGGGGGGGGGGGACCCGATAGCAGTCTTCCAATATTTGAGGGGCTGCCCCAAAGAAGAGGAGGGGGGTCAACTTTTTTTCCAAAGGACCAGAAAGCGAGACCAGAAACAACGGATGGAAACCAATCAAGGAGAGAAGCAACCTGGAATTAAGGAGAAACTTCCTGAGAGTGAGGACAATTAACCAGTGGAACAACCTGCCACCAGAAGTTGTGGGTGCTCCACCACCGGAGGCTTTCCAGAAGACACTGGACAGCCATTGGTCTGAAATCTTATAGGGTCTCCTGCTTGAGCAAGGGGGGTTGGACTAGAAGACCTCCAAGGTCCCTTCCGACTCGGTGATTATGTTATTCTGTACTCCCAGATCAATTAACCAGTGGAACTGCTTGCCTCCAGAAGTTGTGAGTGCTCCATCACTGGAGGTTTTTAAGAAGAGACCGGACAGCCACTTGTCTGAAATTCTATCTATAGGGCACTGTTTCTCAACCTTGACAATTTTAAGGCATGTGGACTTCAACTCCCAGAATTCCACAGCCAGCATTGCTGGCTGTGGAATTCTGGGAGTTGAAGTCCACATGCCTTAAAATTGTCAAGGTTGAGAAACACTGCTATAGGGTCTCTTGTTTGAGAAGAGGGTTAGACTGGAAGACCTCAAAGGTCCCTCCCAGCTCTATTCTAATTGATTGATTGAATAATAATGAAAGTCTAGCGGAGACCAAACTGCCTTTCTTCGTCTTAATTTGAGCACACTTAAGGAGGCGCACTGGGGACAGAAACCAGCACATGAATTAATGTCCATTTATATACTGCTACTTTTTTATTGCATCAGCTCGTGAGAGGCTCCGAAGAAAGCAAAAACTTGGCTAAGGCCCTCTGCTGCCCTCCCTCCCCCCCCCTCTCCCCCTCCCTCTGCGCCCAAGTGTCAAATCACAGGAGTTGACAGCTGTGGTTATATTTGGCTCTGATGCTTCTGCTGTTCCAGACTTTCGAGGGTGGGGGTTGGGGTGGAGAGGCAGGATTATGGGCCTTTGAATCCGCTCTTAACACTCCACTTTTTTTTTTTTTTTTTTCAAATTTATCAGCTGGGCCATTGGAGAAGGAAATACTCCGCGGATCGGACTTCCTAGTTTTGGATTAAGCTATGATTGATAGATTGATAGAGGATGGGTGATAGATACGTTGAGTGGATAGATAGATTGGTAGAGATGTTAGACGGATTAGATAGATAGATAGATAGATAGATAGATAGATAGATAGATAGATAGATAGATAGATAGATAGA